GTCTTGTAACCAAAGCCAAATACTACGAGAAACCCTTCCCAGAGGACTATAACGAAGCCTTTCAGCAATTAACTACTGATTTTAAGAAGAAGAAACTTGATAGGCTTATTTGTTCTCCTATTGGCTGCATAAGAGATAATATTTCAACTGATTGTTTTGTTCACAATCTGGTAAAATTCCAGCAAGAAACCTCAGCCCATGTTACAGTAATAACATTCAATGAAAGATCAAGATGGCCAAAAAGAGGGTTAACCTTTATTGAGTTTGTTAAAGAGCTTCGCAGAAAAATATCACACACACTGTCAATAGCCTGCAAGAGTGATAGCAAGATAGTTTCATCTGATTGTACAGCCATCACAGACACCAGTGACCAAGAACAGCTGGAATAACATAGGACCAACACCACTCCTACGTCAGAACTGGTGAATGAACATCTGTCAGCTACTCTCTCTCATGCAAGTCATCACTCCAGCCAACAACACGACCCTCCTGTGGTGCCAGGCCAGCTGCAGTTCAGTGAAGTGGTCAAGTTAGGTAGTGGTGAAAAGCAGAGCATTTGTGATTTAAAAGCTGAAAATTCAGAGTGCCTTACAGTAAGGAATTGTCCTGTAAACCAGATTCCAAACAATGTAAATAGTAATATAAGTTGTAGTGGATCGGCACAGTCATCTTTCTCAGCTTTAATCTCAATTCTACAAACCACCACACCAATAAAATAAAATCACAACATAATTTTATAAAAATTTTTCACCAGAACATTCAACACCTCTCTTCTAGGTTAAATTCACTACAGGCAATTTTAGACGAAATAAATCCCCATATAGTTATTTTATCTGAACATGACACAAAAGAAGAAGAAATAAAAAGGGTTAATTTAAATTCTTATTCAATAAAATCTACTTTTTCTAGAAAAGTAAAGTCTAAAGGAGGGGTTATTATTTTGGCAGAGAAGAGTTTTGAGCTGAGGAGGGTCTCGGTGCCGGATACAATATGTAATGTTCTACTTGAGGAGTTGCAATTTGAATTTTGTGCCTGTAAATTTATTATTAATAAGCAAAAATATCTCATTATTGGTATTTACAGGTCACCTAAATCAGATGTAAATATTTTTCTGGACAGGTTAGATATTTTAATTGATTATTTTAATAAAAAAATATGATAAAATTATTGTAGCAGATGACCTCAATATTGATGTTTTAGTATCGGATATCAGACATAGATTGTTACAACAGATGTTAGAAAGAAAAAATATGAGGTACCTTGTTGATTTCCCAACAAGAGTTACAGATAATTCGGAGACAGCAATAGATAACTTTTTGATAAAAAATATTAAATTATCTAACTTAAAGGTAGAAGGTCTGGTTACTTTCTTGTCTGACCATGATGGACAGCTATTAAAATTAAAATGCCAAAATTCTATGAAAACTGTAAATTTGCCAATTAAACAAGAGTTGAGAAAATTTTCACCAGAAAACATTAATCTTTTTACACAATTGCTTTCCAATGAATCTTGGTTCGATGTCTATAATTCCAGCATAGAAACAAAGTATGATGTCTTTTATAAAATTTTTCTTTTTATTTTGATCAGGCTTTTCCAAAAAAATTGGTTACAAAGAGAAATAAAAAACGTACATGGATAACTAAAGAATTAAAGATTAAACAACAGCATATTATTCAACTGCCTAAGGAATATCGTAGTAAAAAAAGTATTAGTTTAAAAGATTGTTTACATCAGGAAAAGATTACTTATAAAAGAGAATTAAATAAGGTTAAACACAGATATTTCGAAAAAAAAATTGGTAACTCCCAAAACATTCAGAAAACTGTCTGGAATATAATCAACTCTGAATTTGGGTAAAATGACAAGAAACCATTAAAAATATAATTTTAAAACAAAATTCAGAAAAAATTTTAGACCCTAGTAAAATTGCAAATATGTTTAATGGTTATTTTAGCAACATGGTTACAGATTTAAATTTAAATCGCAACAATCAGAATGTGCCGGCTGATGTGAAAGCTGATTTTATCGATGACTTGTTTGTAAAACCAACATTTGAGCTTAAACCTATCACTGAAAGGGAGGTGGAAAAAATCATTCAATCTTTAAAAAATAAACATTCCAGTGGGCATGATGAAATTCCTGTAACAATAATAAAGGCTGCAAAAACCTATATCACCAAAATTGTATGTCATCTGATCAATTCTTCGTTTGTATCAGGTATTTTTCCTAGCAAATTAAAGCAGGCAAAAATAATTCCTTTGTACAAAAAAAAAAAAAATGACCCTGAAAATATATCCAATTATCGCCCAGTATCTGTTCTTCCCTCAATTTCTAAAGTGTATGAAAAAGCAGTCTACTTACAATTATCATTGTTTTTGGAGAAATTTAATATTTTGGATGATAATCAGCATGGATTCCGGAATGGAAGATCAGTTGTGAGTGCAGCTATTTCTTTTATCGAATCAGTCATTGATTCAGTAGACAAAGGACATTATACAATTGGCATATTTATGGACCTTTCTAAAGCATTTGATAGTGTAAAACATAGTAAGTTACTAGAAAAACTAAAATTAATTGGAATATCTAAAAGAGCTCTTAACTGGTTTTCTTCCTATTTGACAAATAGATCTCAATTTGTGGAAATTACCCATTTGACAAATCATAATAGAATTATTAAATCATCATCAACTTATCAACCAATTAAATTTGGGGTCCAACAAGGTTCAATTTTGGGGCCTTTGCTTTTTTTGTGTTACCTTAAGGGCATGGAAGATAATTTAACCTACAAGCAAAATTCTATATTATGTCTTTACGCTGATGATTCTAATTTGATTGTATCATCTAAATCTCCAGAAGAAACTGAAATGTTTACATATGTAGAATTAGAGAATATTGGAAACTATTTCTACAATCATAACTTATTATTAAATTCACAAAAAACAAAATTTATTAATTTCAGAACAGCTCAGAACAAAATTACAAAAGAGCCAACAATAATTTACAATTCAAATAACATTCAAAAGGAAAATCTGATCAACTTTCTGGGTTTAACAATAGATGAAAATTTGAATTGGGATAAACACACACAGAAAGTTTTAACCAAAACTAACTCCGAAATTTATGCATTGTCAAATATGTCCTTTTATTGTAATTTGAAAACCCTAAAAAGTATATATTTTGCTCACATCCACTCTCATCTTTCATTTGGTTTAGCATTATATGGGTCAACAAAAAAAATTTAATATGGATAGCATTCTGAAGCGGCAAAAAGAGGCTATCAGAATTATGCTTAAGCTTAAACGAGATGATTCGGCAAAAGAACATTTTAAGAAATTAAAATTTTTTACAGTTTATGGGCAATATATTTATGAAACAATTCTTACTGCAAAAAAAAAAATGAATGTGAGCAAGTAATAAATTCAGTACATTCTTATAATTTCAGGAGGAGAAGAGAGTTTGTCCAGCCTCACAAATTAAAACTTTTTGAAAAAAAAAACCCTCATACGCTGGTAACGAGTTTCTAAAATTTGTCCCTGAATTGGTAAAAAAAGAAACAAACCTATCTAAATTCAAGAAAATTCTAAAAGATTATTTAATAAATTTAGCATTATATTCTTTTGAGGAGTTTTCCACCTCCCATACATAGATATAGTATTTTTATTTTAAGTATTCTGACACTATTCACTGTACCACCAATGTACATGACTTATGATGAATAAAGATGTTTGAATATGAATATGAATATGAATTACGTCAAGAAACTAGATAAATCTCATAAAAACACCTATTTTGGCGCAAAAACACCTATTGTCCGGCATCTAGGACAGTGCGCAAGTCTTATATAGATAGTTTTACCAATCAATGTTGATGTATGTGTCTAAATAGGTGTTTTCAACTTGGGTGTCACGTCTGCACCCACTGCAGTTTCCGGTTATGAGGTCATAAAAATGGCGGAAAGGGCTATATTAAAAATGACTATATTTTACATACCATGTATCGGATCGGAATGAACTTTTTTTTGTTTGAAAGATAAGTTTACTTTCATACATTTAAACTTTTGTTGTATGTTAAGTACATTTTTCGTAATTTTGCAATAACCTATATTTTTAAACATTTTTGTGTTATTTTTGTTGATAACGTTTTAGAAATAACTTAAAGAGAAGGTTGTAGCACGTTAAAAGGGCTTTACAAAAATACCAAATCGATATGCTTTACTCAAAGGATCACGTCAAGAAACTAGAAAAATCTTACAAAACAACCCAATTTGGCGCAAAAACGCATATAAATCCGACATCGATGGCTGTGTACGAGTCATATATAGACAGTTTTACCATTCAATGTTGATGTATGTGTCTAAAGAAGTGTTTAAACGTTTCTGATCACGTAATTGACAAAAGTGAGAAGTCAGGTGTGTACAAAATTAAATGTGCTAGTTGCCCGAGCTTTTCCATAGGATAAAATGGACGGACATTCAGAGCTAGGTACAAAGAACACCACCCATGTTCAAGAGCCGACAAACAAAAATCATCCTTTGCTCCACACCTGGTTGGCAAAAATTATGACATGTGACTGAACACTGGCCTCGATATACTCCACACAAGCAAGAAAGGAAATAAATGTTTGATTAGGATACTATCCATCTTCATAGTAGGCTAATTTCAATGTACTAAAATTAAAAATATTGTTTTTAATCATGATTAATAATGGTAACAATCCTGAGATAAAAATGGTAAAAATAATGGTTGCCGCGTAACGTACGATTTTGTACCGAGAACCAAAATACAAATAATGTACCGTACCGACCTTAAATTTTCTGTACTGCAGACCCCTTACAGCTGTGAATGGATTGATAATTTAAGTCTCTGTAAACAATCTTTATATAGTTAGACTTTGTATACAGTAGTTAGAAGCTGACACTATTTATTGTACATTTTGTACCTCATATAGCCTAAATGAAAATATTTTACACTTGAATTTAGGAATCCTCTGTTTAGCATACCTGTTCCCAAAGATACATTGACTCCTACGTTTAGAAGTCGGCGCACATCACATAAGCCACTGCGCAAGCACAAGTTGGAGTCAGGGCAGTGGGCCACACTGCATCTCTTCTCTCTCAACAACTCTATCTCACTGTCCTCGAGGTGTACACAGTGTGCCACGATGGTCTGTAACAGGGCCCCCATTCAAACTTCCTACGGTCATATTTACATATTTGATCAGGTTCAATGGTCTTAGGCCACAAAGGCAGAATCGTAAATGCATGCAGTGTGTCATAGTGGACCTCAGAGACTAATGGAGCAGTGAAGGGCCAATACATTGTTGTTACCGATGTTGTAATGTGTAGTCTCTCTCAAATCAGTAGTGATTCCAATTTTTGAAAAGTTAGGGGATACCGAAGACAAATAGTTTCCAACGAATCTATTCCCAATTTTCATATTTTTAGTATATTTAAGGGTATTTTTAGAATAGTAAAGGAATTGCGGGAACAGATAATCATTACAAGGCATCGCCAAAATCACAGTAGATGATTACAATTTCATTGCTAAAAAATGCAAATCCAAAGTATTGAAAGTTGAGGTATACTAGATACCATTGGCATCACAATTTTTTTGACGTTGTGGACCAGAATCGACCATCTTTATATTTAAGGATTCCTACAAAAAAACCACAACCAAAGGGTTGTGATTGGTTTTCTTTTTAGCAAATTACACAACTAGTGCAAGGTTTACATAATTTGGTGACAGAATACCCAACACCACAAATAAATTGGTTATGGCTTTGACACAAATATCCCATATGAGATTTTAAACAATAAAACTAAAACAAATGCAGAATTTAGAACAAAATACTCAATTTTAACACATTCAAAAGGAACATATCCTCAGAAAAAAAGACAGATTGTGTCACCGACTGTGAGGAAAAGATGAGATTATTGAGTAATCTGATACCCCTGCCGCATCCAACTTGTGGGTTCAGCGGCTTTCCAGATACTTTGTAATATTTTGTGCTCAAATTAAAGTAAGAGAATTTACATTCAGATGAAAGCCCAGTGTAGCCTAAATAAAATTAACTCAATTAATTTATGCTTAACAAACCTTGTGTTTCGGAAAAACTCTAACAATTTGGTGTTGTTTTAATTCAAAAAAATTTAAATTAATGAAAATAAGAAATTATGTCTGAAGATATGACTTAATTTGAAGATGTGAAATATCCTCCTGAAATAGGTGTGTCAACGCCTATTGGGTCTGGTGATGATTGGAGTGATCAATCGAAATCAATCACCATCTTTTATGTTTATGTATATTTACCGTCTTGTGAGTAACAGTATAAGCGTAAATATGTGACAATTGCCCGAACCCGATCATCCTTACCTATCGGTCCTTATAATCAAATTTTCTTTTCAATCATGGAAAACATGTTCAAAACTAATACCAAGAACATCTGATCACAATGATTTTATTTATTTATTTATTTGTTTTATTTTAGCGAATTTCCCATATAGGGAATAAGCTATTACCGTAGGTCTCATGGTAAGACCTAGACCCGGGACCGATTTACTTTTTCGTTTTGAGGTCCCCAGAGACCAAAAACACCATCCGTTCAAATTCATATATATATATATATATTTATATATTGAACCCCCCCCCACCCCCCACCATGCCCGGCGCCTCCACCATGCGAGTCCCATGCCTCACTTTAAGTTTAGGTTTCCTAAAATGATTCACTCGCTTAGCTTAGTCAAGAGGTGTTAGGTTAATGAGACATAAGACTGCTAAAGGGTGTTACTCAACGTGTAATGAACAAAAATTTAAATTTAGAAAAACAACAAAAGTTACAAAGTGTTACAACAGCAAAAGAAAACTTTGAAAAGGCAAAAATCAACAATAATAAGATAAATAAATTTACAACGTTAAATTTACAAGAAAAGAAAAACAATTGAAAATGTAAAAGAATTAGTTACTGACAAATTACATGACTTGTATGTTTGACAAAACTTTAGTTATATATTTTATTCTTTTTACATACTGTTAATTGTCCCAGAAGCACACGCACCGATACACGCACTCCCAAACTCCCGATCTTCTTTCTCCGGTGGTCCGTGGTGATCTCCCCGATGTTTTCCTTCAGATCCCCCAGCTCCAAGAGTCGTCACCCCTCCATCTTCTTCATTAGCCCTTCTCATTGGCTGATTACCGATAGGGTGTGTGGCTTATAGGTTAACGGTGTTTCTTGGAAGTCAGCCCTACCGGTCATCGCCTAGCTCACATCAGCTGGGAAAGGAATTTGTAAATCGATGCTCATGCTACTGTTCAACTCTGTTCACACCAACTGGTCGACTAAGTGTAATGTGAACAGAGTGTCTGCATAGATGAGCACCGTGGGTACGGGGTTAATCCCCTTTCTTACAATATATATATATATATTTATATATGTGTCCGTTAGCGCGATAACTCGAGCAAAAATGATCCGATTTTGATGAAATTTGGTGCAAACGTGTAAACCTACATTTGTTCGAACGAGTTTGCGAACCAGCATAATCGGACCATGGGAACAGGGGTTTATGGGGGGTTTTATGGGGTAAAAATGGGGTTTTCCCATTTTTTACCCTAAAAACAAAAAATTTTGCAATTTCTTTCTCAACCATTTTGTAGAACTTAAAAAAAGAAATAATTTAGTATATTGAAGCGCTGTTGTATGCCTAACGGTCAAGGAGAAAATTTAAAAAAAGTGTAATTTAAAATTCCCATGTTATTCTCATGGAGAAAATGAAAACTGTTGTAGTTTACTTGTTTAGGGATATATTGATAAAATTTGGCAAATTTATTTATTTCATCCTATACTATTGACATATGGTCAAAAACACTTTTTACCTTCCCTGTAGCAGCAAACTTAAGCACTTGTTAAATCTAATGTTATTTAAATTGGGAATAAATATGTCTTATTTATAGAAATGTTTTAGTAAAAATGTAATCAGACAAGTTGAAATTCGCTTAGTCTGCAGGTTGGCTGCGGCGGGGGTATTATTTCATTCCAACGGCAAAACCATTTAACATAACAATACAACTAAAGATAACTAGGTACTAAAATCATTCTAAAATTATTATTAGATGGGTAGGTTATTATTCTCGAGCACCCATTTTTAAATAATCATACAGAAGAATTTAGTTGTTATACCTTACAATGGATGGAAGATGGAACTCCGAAAAATCTGTTCCTTTTCCTTTGACATTAATATCCTGCCCTCATTAAATAATATCCTGTTATTAAGTTTCAGTAAAACAAATATCTTGAATACACCAACAATAGTATACAGGGTGAGTTTTAAACGAGTTCCCCCCCCCCTACTTTTTTCTACATTTCTTAAGATACAGTATCAACTCCGGACCACATCAGATCATTGTAGAGTAGAAAGTACTTCTTTTTGACTAGGTATAAATTTTTGGCCGCCATCTTGGATCCGCCATATTGGATACAAAAATATTTTCAAATGTAAAGGTGGGGTTGTGACCCATCGTTTCAAAGTAGCTTTTTATACTGAATACAATGCTGCAATATGTTCTTTAAAATATTGTAAATTAAAATTTTAATAATTATAGTTTGAAATGATGGGTAACAAACTCTACCTTTACATTTGAAAAAGACTTTGTAACCAATATGGCAGATCCAAGATGGCGGCCAAATATTTATACCCAGTCAAAATAATGAAGCACTTGCTACTCTACAATGATGTGATGTGGTCCGGAGATGATATCTTAAAAAATGTAGAAAAAGTAGGGGGGGGGATGTAACTTCCTTTTGAACATACTAAAAGTCCCCTAAAATTGAAGCTGTGCTACGGCCGCCATATTGGAAAATGGCGGCATAGCCTATTTCTGTATTTTTTGCTATAGTTACTTTATTATTAGAGATACAGGAAAAAGCTAAATATATAAAATGTAGTCCATCTTCAAATACACATTTTTTTGTATTTATAATTTTCCTCTATATCCAACGGTTTTTGAGTAATTAGTGATTATTTATATTTAGTTTTTATTTATCAAAAATAGGCGAAACCCATGGAAATCGACGGTTACTTTCAAGATTTACAACAATTCATCCCATTTAGTTAAATAGTGTGATACTACCTATACTATAAAATCAGAAAATTTACAGTAATTATTTACCTATTTTGCCTGAAGGTCTTGTAGTTAACACTCGATGCGCATTTCGCCGCTCAGTGCGGCATCTTCATAGAGTATCTTCTTAAACACTACTGTTACTATGTACATATTTACAATATATTTTCCAATCACTAACCGGTCACATTCGCGGTCGCGGTTGCCCGGCGGCGACACGAGCGGCGGGGTACATTTCGTTCCGCACTGTTGACGTGATGGACTTGTACTGGATCTGAGTGGTTGACAGTGACAGTGTTATGATCAGGGGATGTAGTCATTGTTTGTAAGGGATGGTCGCTTTCACTTTTGCGCTGTTGCCATTTTAGTGCGGTGTTGCCAGATCGTTGGGTTTCCTCTATGTTTTGAATGAGGTTAAACAAAATGGAATTATGGTAGTCCTCTTTCTTATTTAGGAGGGTGTCAGGGTTAGTGTTAATTTGCTTATAAATTTCGTAACTTTCTTTGACTATTGCAGTAGATTTGGAGTTGGTTTTGTGGAGGATCTGTAATGACTCAGGATAAATAATTTTGTGGCCATGATTTTCTTTCAGGTGTTTAGCTACTATTGAGCTGGGGTTGGTATAATGTTGAGTGTTGTGTTCTTTGAATCTTTTGCTGAAAGTTCTGTTTGTGTAGCCGATATATTGTTTATTGCAGGGGGGCGCACATGTAATTTTATAAACTCCTCTTTCATTATCTGGGTTATCTTTGTTGGCTTCCTGTTTGTAAATGGGCACCGGATTGGTTTTAACTTTGTATGCTGGTGTGCAGCCTACTTTATTAAAGATTTTTCCTATTTTTTCTGTTGTTTTATCGGTGTATTTGATTGCTACGTATTTCTGATTTTGGTTTTCCGGGTTTGACTGATTTGAAGGTTCATTTTGTGTATTGGATTTAATTTTCTTTCGGGTTTTGCAGATCATAGTTTCTACGATTGTTGGATTGTAACCGTTATTTGATGCTATTGTTTTTATAATTTCCTTTTCTTTTTCATACTCTTTTTGGTCGAGATTGTAGTTGAGAAGTCTATATGTTAGTGATCTAAAAGCTGCCATTTTTTGGTTGTAAGGATGGTTGGATTCTGCTGGTATAACTAGATCTGTTTGTGTTGGTTTCCTGAAAATTCCAATTTTAACTGTTTGGTTTTGGGTTTTAGTGACTGTTATGTCAAGAAAGCTTATAGAATGGCTTAGTTCAGTTTCCATTTTAAATTTGATGCTATTGTGTGTTTTGTTGACGTGTGTTAAGAAATTATTTGCCTGTCTTTGGTTAGCATTTAGTACGATGAAGGCATCATCAACATACCGAGCATAAAATTTGATTTTGTTGAAATAGGGGTTTTTATCTGATAATATATGTTGCTTCTCGAAATTTTGCATAAATAGCTCCGCTAAGGTGGCTGATAGTGGACCTCCCATCGGAAGACCTTTGGGGTCATAGTATGTTTTATTATTGTAAGAGAAATAGTTTTGTTCCGTTATTGTTGTTGTAATTTTAATAATATCATTTATTTCTTCTTCATCGAAATTTTCACAGTTGGTAAGTCTTTTTTTGAGTATCTCGATGGCTTCTTTTCTTGGTATGTTTCGGTCCATCAGATGTGATGTTCAGTGGGCATTTACTGAAAACACTGAATCAGTCATGATGTAATCACATTGACAAATACCTATTTTTAAATAAGCCTACAGGTTTAGATAACCTACCTTTCTAGTCAGTAATTTGGCTCTTTCATATACGTCTGCATAGTTTTTAGCATTTGGGAACTTTTTCTTCACTTCTTTTACCTCGTCTGCATTTTCAGAAAGATGGGTCTGTAACACAATATAAAGATAATCTGTCCACACTGAGGCATATTTATATGTATACAGCCACTCAAAACAGTTTTGAATACCAAGGGGTAAAAATGTACAATTTCTGGCCTGTCAGCATCAAAAACCTGTCTGTTATTAAATTCTAGCATGTCTTAAACCAGACTAACCCAGGCCTGTTTGTACAAACAATTTTTTTTTAGTTTAGAATTATAGTTTTAATGTAAAAAAAAAAACCAGCTTGATTATTTTTTATCTTTTGGCAATTGTCATGAACTGTGTAGTTTTTACGACAATAAATAATTTCATTTCATTTAACAGAATCAAACAAAGACTAACTTTAAAAAATTATTAAGCTTGTTACACAGATGAATTTCATTATGTTGTCAGAAACTATGACATAAATAAACATCACTACTTCCTGTGCAATAAATGTTGTGGGTATCTTTGTTGATGTAATCAAGACATTGCAAGAAAATAGAATACTGATTGGGCCTGTATATACCTTGTTATTGTGGCATTAAGTGTATATTACAAGATGCAAGCTTAACAGTTCACGTTTACCTAATTTATTTTGCACTTTGAATCATCATTGTGTTTGTTAACCATGTTATGCTGTAGTGGAACCTTGTAGTGGAATCTTGTTTACAACATACTTGGTAATTGTAACACATTACTTTGAAACCAAACCTATTCCTAGTTTAATTGACTAACTTACTTGAATGTGAAGGTCAAATCTGTTGGCGAGCTGACCGAGACGAGACATAAGCTCTTCTGAACTCGTCAGAGCAAACCTTGGCGTTATTATGGGCCTTACCAGTGCATCCTACAACAAAAAGATGTAGGCCTACTATAATATAATTATATTGCATAAACCGAGATGTTTATTTGATTAACATGCATTTGGTAATAGTCCTACCACATTTATAGCCCAAAAGATAAAATTAAATTAAAATACCCCCGCTACAACAAACCTGCAGACTAAATAATTTTATATTTGCCTGATTAAATTTTGAATTAAAACATTTCCTTAAACATGTCAGATTGATTCCTTTTTAAACAACATTAGGTTTAACAAGTACCGTAGTTATGTTTGCTTCTACAGGGTGAGTAATAAACTAGTTTTAATAGCTTAGTAAGATAGTAAAGAAATTTGGCAAATTCCATGATGCAAACTGGAACACTATTACTTAAGAATAACACTGTTTAAATGTAACATTTTTTGGGAATTTTCTTCACAACTAAGTGTACAAAAACGCATCAGTATGGTAAATTATTTGTTTTTAAGCTCTACAAAAAAAAACTCTATAAATTTTATGTTTTTGGTGCCAAAAATGGAAAGTTAACTTTTAGCCCATAACCCCCTGTTTCCATTGTCGAAACATGCTAGGTCAGTAATACTTTTTCCACGCTTAAACAAAGGTTTACATGTTTAAACCAAATTTTACCAACATCAAGTAATTTTTACTAGAGTTATTGTGCTTACAGACACACTATACATGGGTTTGAAGAGATAGTGTTTTGGCCTCTGGGAACATCAAATAAAAAAGCGCCAGGTCTAGGACTTACCATGAAAACTACGGTAATAGTTTATTATTACCTATATGGGTGACTTGCTAAAACCGTAGTACCAATATATTAAAAATCGTTGAATTAATAAGTTTTCTATATTGCCACAAACATGACTTTATTAAAATGACTAATTTTTCTGATTAGATGCCATCATCACAAATAATGGGAAAAAAAACTCAAACCAACGAAGTAAAAACACAGCCAGATATCTATTGGCATTGCAACTACTACTAAGAAAAGAGAAGTATCAGGGAGGTATGCAGGCCCCAAAGCAGGACATTTGAACTTTCTCCGACTAACTTAAAACATCTCAGAATCTCTCTGCTAGAATTCACATTTGTTTGCGAATTATCTGAGAATTCCTGGTTACTCAAAGCTAGTTTAAACATTCTTTCCTCAATGTATTTAAATATTGATTGCTAATAGGCCATTAATTATTTAAGTTTTGTGTTTGTATTTTTGCTTAGCTTGGCTTGTCTTTTTACTTTTACTCAAAAGCTGCAGAGCAGTGACATTCAGCTTTATATTTTGGTCACTTAAAATTTAAATTCAGTTTGGATCAAGTGAAAAATGTTGCTCTGTGAGCCTCGAACCAAAAATATCGATATAATATGATTGCAAAAAATTAAATTTACAAATGCGCAATCTTCGAAGACCCTTTCTGCTGTTGGGATTCTGAGTGTGTGCTGCACCTTATTTACACTGATCTAATCATTCTGCAAGCCTTTCCCTTGTACTGTACTGCAACAATATAAAACTGCCGCCCGTAAGTGTGAGAAAAAGACAAATTGGTATGCAGCTGATTAAAACAATCATGAAGTACAGACATGTGCACAATTTCTTGGTACTCTATTGTCTGCAGGTAAGTAAGTGGTTTCAGTTACCAGCTCTTCTGTTATTTGGCCTTTACAAACATTTAGTTAGTAAACAAGGCCAATCATCCAGAGGAGTTTCACAGCTGGTAGACATTGTGTTTATCCATTGGAACAAAGAACTACTTAAAATTCCTAGTTATTGCGCCTGTAGAGTGGATTTAGTGATTAGCAAGTTTAGGTACAAGGCATAAATCAAACTTATAAAAAAGTAAAAAGTTTGATAACTGACTAACTTGTACAATCTAGCCTAGCTGATGTCAAAATTGTAATTCTATCTTGCAAATGGATATAATTATCTCAATTTATGAATATGCTGCCAGCATACTTCTACATATATTAAACATATATGTGATTATAACTAACCCCATTGTTAAGGAGTGTATTTATGAAGACTTCTGTGTTTTGTATTGATTGTTCAGTTTCTTCTTTTAAATCTGCTGGACAGTTCTGGTCCATGCAGACCTTCCCTACTAGTGCTCTCTGACCACTTAAACGAGCTGCCTCGGCCAGCATTATACAACTGTCTGCATGGATGGTGCCAAAGTAGGCTGCGGTTGTGGTGCCACATCTCAAGGTTCTTTTCTACAACAAACAAATATATATTGGCAACATAAATAGGTTAACATACCTTACGTCGTCAATCCTAAAATTAGTCTATGGCAACTAGTTTCGATACATCAGTGGTTTCATTGTCGAGCCTCTTGTCATCGTCAATACACAATAGTATATTCGACATATACAAACACGAACACGGACACAAACTATAGTGTACTGATGACCACAAGATGTCCCAATATTTTAAGAGGCAAGAGGCTTGACAATGAATCCACTGATGTTGTTCAGGTTTATTGCGGACATTTTCCATCACGATTGTAAAAAACAATACACAACGTTTCGGGATCTGGAATCTGATCCCGTCCTCAGGTGAAAAAACTTAACCAACACATTACAACTAACAATACACAAACGCCCAACCTAAGTTGGAATAGACTACAGAGGGTGCCGGTAGCAGTAAAAAAAATGCACTGTATAGCAGTCAAGTCATGATACAACATGCAAATAATAAATAACAAATCACAAAACACTATAATCTATAATAGTTGTGTAAAAAGCTCTCACAATGCAACACTAATAGCAACGTTCGCAATGACTCCACCAATGTGACTGAAGCAACATGGCCGACCAATGGGAAACACGGAGACAACAGAAATTGCTTCCGGTCCCAGGAAAAGTAAAACCAACAAAATGGCGGAGCGATGTACGATGCCGCAAGATGGCAACAAACAAAGAAACCACTGATGTTTCCAAAACTAGTTGCCATAGACTAATTTTAGGATTGACAACGTAAGGTATGTTAACCTATTTATATTGTCAATAATCAATCCTGGAGGCAATGATGAATAAATATATATTTACTTTTAAACATACTGGTTGAAGGTCATAAGCGGAGTAAACTTTTTTATACCTATTCATATTGCATAAAAGATTTTAGGGGGCGTGAACTAATCAATACAATATCCCTACCAATAACGATTAATATCAGAGCCCCATAAATAATTTTAATTGCGTCCCATTTTAAATTCATGCAAGTTTGTTAATTTGTTCCCTTTACAGGGCTTACTTCATTTGAAAACTGTTAAACTCAAGACATTACAAAACTGGTTTTTGGTGTTGCCGTGTTTTTTGCCCTAGAAACTAAAAAGCGTCATTACAAAATAATATGCGACTGGTAAATCAAAATTAATATTCTTCCTTTCAAATGTTCAAACCGATAGCCCAAAGAACAGTCAAGGTTACACATGTGCTAAGATTGTTGGATTTTTTATTTACCAACATTTTTTCACGCACTTACCCGCTAAATCACAAGTGTATATTTCTTTGACCCGGACGAGAGGCGTGAGGGGCAATACAATGATGTAGGCATACAAGCCTGTGAATGAATTATAGATAACTACGACAACGTGTTATGCGAATCCTATCCATGTCCTCCGCAGGGCCAGATTTATGGGCGCAAGCGCCAAGGGGGCGCATGGCCGAGAGGTAAAATATACTTTTCTCACGGCCGCACGCAACCCTCACTGATCACATAAAATAAATAACCCGTATTTGAGATACTTCCGCCTGACCAAAAATCTAACAATTTTAAACTAATGAATATACTATCTATTTGTTAGCTATAAATCTAACTGAGTAGTATTTCCAGCACTTTTAAAAAACTCATGAATAAAATAAAAGTTAGCCGAAAAACTAACGAATATTGCTATCCGTTAGAATTTCTATTCGTTATTCCCAAGTATGATGCAATATCACCTTAGACTAACCAACACAAGTACACTGTGTTAAGCCCAGAATGTAAAACTTGTTGTGCTGTTAATCTTTAACAGGAACAGAAAATCCCAAATGTGGCTGTCTCAAATCACTAAAAGGTAGGCCTATTGTCTCTCAAGTGTCCGGCCAATTCCTAGATCTAGCCTACTGTCCACCCGTTTCAGCCATATTATTGAGGTTTAACTGTTCAACTACAATTCAAGATGAAAGGTATACTTACCACAACGTCACAATAAACCACCTTAGCTCTCGACACGTCATGGTATTGGCTCTCAAGAGGGAAGGTGTACCTATTCAGCCACTCAAGCAATGGCATGTTGTAGCCAACACCAGCATTTGGAAACTGGGGAGCATGGATGTGTGTGTCAATGAACCCTGGAAAATATTGTTGTGAATTAATACAAGCGTATCAGTAAAAGTATAAATCAGACTCTGATATTTTAGGCAGATTTTAAAACTGGGAATATTAAAATGAGTAGGCAAATGACTTGTAATTGCTTCTTAAATGTGTATTTTTGTTATTTTTACGGTAGATTCTTTAGTCATATATAGTGTGTATTAGCATTTATATTATATGAATAAAATTATACTATGTACAATTCCCACTGTGTTATTTTAACCAAGAGTTGTAATTTTCCAAACTGTAGTAATTTATGAAAGAATTTCTGTTATCCGTCTAATCAAGAACTAAGAATCAAGAAGCTTTATTTGCCATTAAATAACAGATCGTTACAATAGGCATCGTCAGTGCAAAATCAATCTAAAATACAATCAGTCACATTTGAAAATTCTTCCACAGTGTAGAAAGCCTTACTTTTAACCATCATTACATAATTTATTATTAGGTAACAGCTGTTAGTATTTATGGCTCTTAAACAACTTGTGCAACCCAATGTTAGGTTTAACAGGATTACCTCTATTTATTGTATCATGGTCATGAACTGATCAAACTGTTGAAGAAGAGATTGTTCCAAGAAATTCAGTTAACTGCCATAGTCCCGATTTATTGGTTGACGGTCAACCCTTTTGCCGCCGCGTTCGGATATATCGGACGCTCGCTAAATGCTATTTTTCTGGCTTATTTTCAATCCAAATGTCATAAATTATACGTGAATCGATTTAGTATGGATTGGGCTTCATGGATAAAAACTACGTTTGGATTTGATTTTCAGCAGTACTTGTCTAGTAAACAACGTGATTGCGCCATCTGTTGTTTGTAAACAGTTTACAGGTTAGTGGCAGTGTTTTCGTTAAGTTTGTTTACATATTCTATAGTGGTTTGCACTTGAAATGAGTAAAAGTACTCGTGATAAGTCACCAGTAAGTGAAAATACAATTTAAAAAATAGTTGTTTAGCCTCCGGATTACTGTATTATACTTAAAATGGTTTACATTACCTGCATATAGTAATCCTTTGTTGCTGATTTTGGCAAGTAGTTTCGGTTCATTAATGAACCATCTTCAGGCCTCAAGGTGTCAAGTAATCACTTCATTCAAAGATCGTTAACAAACAGAGTTCAATAAATAAGACATATACAAAACACGATACACGGAACGGACACACATTACAAAAAAACACGAAGGGACATTGACAATTGATCGTGACCGGGCTGAGGTAAAGTCTAGACTGGTTGACTTATTTTTGTGTTTTTTGTAATGTGTGTCCGTTCCGTGTATTGTGTTTTGTATATGTCTTATTGATTTAACTCTGTTTGTTAACGATCTTCAAATGAAGTGATTACTTGACACCTTGAGGCCTGAAGATGGTTCATTAATGAACCGAAACTACTTGCCAAAATTAGCAACAAAGGATTACTATATGCAGGTATTGTAAACCATTTTAAGTATAATACAGTAATCCGGAGGCTAAACAACTATTTTTTAAATTGTATTTTCAGGAGGCATATCATTTTCTAAAACAGGCCTATCATCAGGAACCTGAGTACTTTTTTTAGGACAACCTGTGGGTCGTTTGGGAGGCAAGACAGTAAGCCTACGTCGAGTTTGTAGCGCTAGGTTGATCAATGTCATATTCCTCATCAGATGTTGTATGTAGATCACTTGGAAAAAAGTCGGGATTTGCATCACTGTCGTCACCAAATAACTCTGGAAGAGATGTGTGAGTCGGTGGCTCAGTCGGTAGCGTCGCGGACTTCGGGCCCAAGGCAGTAGTGTCGTGGGTTCGGATCCTCGTCACTGCCACTAACTTTTATCAGTACAGTTCACCTTTGTACTGTATGGGCTCACCCTTTGCTTTGCTGGATACGTTCCACGCACAGATCTGTAGTCTATGTGGACGGGCAAGTGAAATGAAATGAAATGAAATGAAAATCCTTCTTTATTGAGGCGAACTTAGGACCTCATGGTCCTTTCTTACAGTTAACCTCTAAATAATAATAGTAATAACAATAATACATGATATGAACAAAAGTAAAATACACATTTCGTAACATAATTAATAATAAACAACATAACATACATTTCTTTTCCTAGCATACAGTCACACACATACACTCTTTGCAGCAGCTAAGCCTAACGCACGCCATCCCGCCACGCCACTACCATCCGGTTGAGATAATATTCTTTCAGTGTCGCCTTCAGTCGGGATCGGTTTTCTATGGATTTAATGGCATCGGGTATAGAGTTCCATAGGCGGCATGCTGTGACTACAAATGATTTATTATAAATAGTTGTTCTGTGACGAGGAATGCGCAACGTAGACGAGCCAGAGCGAGTATCCCTTGCACTTCTTTCATTCAAAAATTCAAAATTCTTTGCAATGTAATTTGGAATTCCAAGATTGATAGCCGAATGAGTGATTGAAAGTATTCGGAGTTTTCTGAGGTCATCTAATTTCAAAATTGATTCATTTATGTAATAAGGTGTGACGTGGTCGTCCTGCCTAAGGTCAAACAGAAATCTAATACAATAATTTTGTGCACGTTGTAGTTTTGTTGCCAAAGCCACAGTCATATCATTAACCACAGTGTTGCAGTAATTGAAGTGTGGAAACACAAGTGATTTGACCAGTAAGAGTTTAATGTGAAAAGGAAGGAGTCGTTGCATCTTCTTCATTGTGTGAATGGCGGCAAATACTCTTTTACAAGTATCTACCACCGTGTCAGTCCAGTCTAATGTGCGGTTCATCAGCAATCCAAGACTTTTGATTTTGTTTTGATATTGCAAAGTAATTCCATTTACAGTGAGTTTTGGTAAATTGTCTTCTTCAAGTTTGTTTAGTAAACGTGAGTGACCTATAATGATTGGTTTTGTTTTGTCAGGATTGAGTCTAAGTCCATTCTGTGCTGCCCATTGAACAATGTTGTCAATGTCGTGATTCATTATGTCTATAGCTTCATTTATATCGCTGACTTTAAAATGAGAATAAATTTGCAGGTCATCAGCATAAAAATGAAACTTTACGTGGTGTAGTACTGTACTAATGTCATTGATGTAAACAGTGAAAAGTAGTGGGCCAAGAATTGAACCCTGAGGAACTCCACAGGGAACATTTCTCCAGTCGGACGTCAAGTTGTCATGACATACACACTGCTTTCGGCTCTGAAGATATGATCTCATCCATTTTAGTGAATTATCAGAAAAACCTAAAAGTTGGAGTTTGGCTAGAAGAATGCTATGATTTACAGTATCGAAAGCTTTGCTGAAGTCAAATAAGGTTAAAATAGTGCATTGGCTGTGATCCATAGCAAATCGTATTTCATCAGTTATATGGAGCATCGCTGTTTCAGTGCTGTAATATTTACGAAATCCAGATTGGAAACTGTTGAGGATATTGTTTACTGACAAGAATTCGGAAACTTGAGAATGGACAATTCTTTCAAGAGCTTTAGAAAGAGCTGGAAGAATACTAATTGGTCGGTAGTCTTGCGGAAGTGATGGGGATGAGATCTTATTCAATGGGCGGACAAGCACAGTCTTCCATTTTTCTGGGAAAATACCTGATCTGAGTGAGGTGTTGAATATGAAGGTTAATGTTGGGAGGAGAGCAAACGAGATACGTTTAATCAACGAAATCGAGATTCTGTCAGAACCAGTGGCATCAGACGTTATTCGCCTTATAGCCTTCAAAACATCAATCTGCAATATTGGCTTGAAGTTAAATTGAGGAATAGTATTGGGCAAGTGACGTGATTTTAACTGAGTTAAATGGTTCTGTACTACTGTGACGTTTGCATTTGACGAAACTGGTAAGAAAAAATCGTTTAAATCATTCAATGGTATTGTTATTGGAACAGGTTTAACTTCCTTTCCAAGTCCAAAACGTTTCAGATTACGCCAGCGAACAGCAGAAGATTGTTTTCCTTCGGAAAACAATCTATGAAAGTACTGAAGTCGAGAGTTGCGCAAATGTTGTTTAACTTGATTTCTAAGCTGGCGATACTGGGCCATAAGCCCCTGGTCTCTAGTTCTTTTAGCTCTGCGATGGACTGAATCCCGCCGAGCCATTAACCTAATAATCTCCTCAGTGATCCACGGAACGGGGCGACTTTTACTAACCCTACGGTTCACAATTGGAGCGTGTTTGTCGTATATTTTTTTTTTATAATTTAAGTGCAATGTTAAAAGAGGCAGCCAACCTCTATGACAAATTAATTTCATTAACAAAACTGTCACTCAGTTCACCATAGTCCACATCAATTCCACTTGCCACCAAATTGTTGAAAATTGTATTTTCATACTTAAAATGGTTTACAATACCTGCATATAGTAATCCTTTGTTGCTGATTTTGGCAACTAGTTTCGGTTCATTAATGAACCATCTTCAGGCCTCAAGGTGTCAAGTAATCACTTCATTCAAAGATCGTTAACAAACAGAGTTCAATAAATAAGACATATACAAAACACGATACACGGAACGGACACACATTACAAAAAACAAAAAAATAAGTCAACCAGTCTAGACTTTACCTCAGCCCGGTCACGATCAATTGTCAATGTCCCTTCGTGTTTTTCGTGTTTTTTTGTAATGTGTGTCCGTTCCGTGTATCGTGTTTTGTATATGTCTTATTTATTGAACTCTGTTTGTTAACGATCTTTGAATGAAGTGATTACTTGACACCTTGAGGCCTGAAGATGGTTCATTAATGAACCGAAACTACTTGCCAAAATCAGCAACAAAGGATTACTATATGCAGGTATTGTAAACCATTTTAAGTATAATACAGTAATCCGGAGGCTAAATAACTATTTTTTAAATTGTATTTTCACTTACTGGTGACTTATCACGAGTACTTTTACTCATTTTAAGTGCAAACCACTATAAAATATGTAAACAAACTTAACGAAAACACTGCCACTAACCTGTAAACTGTTTATAAACAACAGATGGCGCAATCACGTTGTTTACTAGACAA